CCAGCAATTGGGTCTACTGAATTTGAATCTCATTTGGGCTTTGGTGTTGTAACGGGCTTCGGTTGTAATTTGGGCTTGAGTGGGTGGCCTGCACAAAATGATGTAATATAATAATAATAATAATAATAATAATAATAAAATTAATAATAAAATTAATAATAATAATATTAAAATTAAATAGAAAAGACCTGGACAAAAACGGGTGTCTACAGCTGCCCCTCTTTGTACATTCTTGTGTTAACAAGAATAGGGCAAAGGCGATAAGACAACACGTTTTTGTCTGGTTCTTTTCCTTTTATGCTTAGAAATTGGATAATATTTGTTGGTGGGGACGACACTATTCATACGCGATGAAGAGGTCTGGTCGTCTAAGGGTGACACGGCTCATACGCGATGAAGAGTTCTGGTCATCTTTAGGAAGGGTGATAACTCGGTTCTTACGCGATGAGTAAGGCTGGTTATCTAGGGGTGACACGACTCCTACGCGATAAGGAGATCTGGTCGGGGGATGACACGGCTCATACGTGATGAAGAGTTCTGGTCATCTTTAGGAAGGTGATAACTCGGTTCCTACGCGATGAGGACGGCTGGTTATCTAGGGGTGACACAGCTCCTACACGATGAGAAGGTCTGTTCAGGGGATGACACGATTCCTATGTGATGAGGATGGCTAGCCATCTTTAGTGATTATGGTTTCAAGGGAAACCGACTCAAAGATTTGTTTCAAAAGAAACAGACTCAAAGATTTATTTCAAGAAAAACAAACTCAAAGGTGATGTGTTTCAAAAGAAACTGTCTCAAAATAGACAAAATTCGTTTAAAGGGAAATGACTCAAAAGATGACGTTTAAAGGAAACTGTCTCAAGCGAGACAAAATTTGTTTTTAAGGGAAACGTTCTCAAAGATCGGTGTTTCATGGGAAAGTATCTCAAATGAGACAAAATTCGTTTCAAGGGAAACGATCTCAATGATGTTTGTTTTATTTTAAGGAAAACACACTCAAAGATGGTAAATTTTGTTTCCAAAGAAACAAACTCAAAGATTTTTCTCAAAGAAACTGTCCCGAGAGAAACAAAATTTTGTTTCCAAAGAAACATATTCAATGATTTTTTCAAAATACATTGTCATAAGAGACAAAACTTTGTTTTTCAGAAAATTGTATCTTAGTGAGACAAAATTTTGTTTCCAAAGAAACAGACTCAAAGATTTTTCTTCAAAAGAAACTGTTTTAAGGGATAAAACCTTGTTTCCAGATAAACAAACTCAAAGATGATCTTGTTTTAAGAGAAAATGTTTCAAGAGACAAAATTCATTTTAAGGGAAATGACTCAAAGATGGTTTTATTTCAAGAGAAACAAACTCAAAGATTTTGTATTTCTAGAGAAACTGCCTCAAGGGAGACAAAATTTGTTTTAATAGAAATGATCTCAAAGGTGGGTATTTTCAAAAGAAATTGTCTTGAGAGACAAAATTTCTTTTCGATTTTTTCCTCTCTCATTTTTTTTTTCACCTAATGGTCCTCCTCCCTCCATTTCTTTGGTTATCTCCCTCTTTTTAAACCCGAATGAGCTCCTTGATTTATGTTTATTGCTTCTGTGAGACGATGATGATGAATAGCATGGGGAAATAATTTTTGATTTGGTTTGATTTTCCTTGGAAAGATATATTGAAATGTTTATATTTTTTTCTTCTGATTTTCCTGCCATTTCCACTATTGAGTGTCACTGATAGATAGATGCAGGCGAGGCAGTCGGCAGCAACATCAAAGAGCGACGGCGACGACAATAACTAGGGTTAGGGCTATGAAACCCTATTCATCTCGGGTCGGGTCAGATCCTTTGCTGGGTCCTGGATTCGAGTTGTGTTCCCACTAGGTTTTGGTGTTGTTGGGTTGATGGCTGGTCTGTGTTAGTTGGGCCAGCAATTGGGTCTGCTGAATTTGAATCTCATTTGGGCTTTGGTGTTGTAACGGGCTTCGGTTGTAATTTGGGCTTGAGTGGGTGGCATGCACAAAATGATGTAATATAATAATAATAATAATGATAATAATAATAAAATTAATAATAAAATTAATAATAATAATATTAAAATTAAATAGAAAAGACCCCGACAAAAACGAGTGTCTACAGATTCAATATGATTCTTGATGACCTTGGGAAGCTTTGACCTTCAATTTATACGTTCTCTATTAATTCTAGCCATTTTGGTGCCATTAGAGATCATTATAGCTGTTACATACTACAGAAAAACAACATTTAATGCACAAAGGATCGATCCTTTATTAAAAGGGATCGATCTGAAACTCACTGGAGGATCGATCCTTTGGTCAAAAGGGTTGATCATTTTAGCCAAAAATCCTTGGCCACTTAACTTTAAAGCATGAAAACGATCGAGTTTGTTTTTGAAAAGGTTCGACTAAGTCGAAAAACATTTAAAACATATTTTCAAGTTAATTTAGACTTTGAATTATTTTTGATAAATTTTTGACAAATTCAATTAAATCCAAAAAAAAATTTGTAATTTAATGTTCTATCAAAATATTAGTTTAAAAAATATTACAAACTAAATAAGTCTATCGATATCTGTATCTCGAATGTGTTCCACAGGGCGGTAACCGTTTATTTCGATGAGGGTTTCTTCATATAAGTTATTATTCCTCCTCACTCTCATCAACATCATCATCATCATCAGTAGTAGGTACATTTTGTTGATCATGGACGAATGACGATGTACCACCTCGTAGAAGAAGGACCCTGGAGGTGTATGACTAACCATCCCACCGCTCATAGAAAACTGTGAAAACATAGACATCGATGAATGTGAAAATTGGGTCGGTGGTGTCTGAGTCTGTGGTGGCATATCACCGGCCAAATATGATGCATATGACGCTCATGCTAGATCTACAAGTATGGAACTGTAATATCCGCATGGAGGAGACATAAAACCCTACGGTGATGGCATCAAAACCTACTGTGGTGGCATATGAAATGGAGGCGGTGGTGTCTGAAACATCTATGGAGCCATCTAAACTGATTTCTCCCCCATCTGAAACGGTTGCAGAATGTAACCTGGTGTAGACGGTGGTTGCTGTGATGGTTCTGATACTACAGCTGAAGATGAACCAAAAGCGTATGCTCTTCGTCTACTAGTCAGGGATGATGTAGCTATGATAGTGGATACCTGTCTCGACGCCGATGAATGCTCCAAAATCATGCTTCCTTGAAAAGAAGGAATGACTTACCGTTCGTATTGAACCACTGGTAGTAATCATCCACAATCAAATATTGATCAACATTAATTGGCTCCCTATATTAAATACATCCACATCGACCTCCCACATCATCACCAGTTGCTGTGTTTCATCAGTAAGTTAACATTTCCCCCCGTCTATTAGTGTTATGTAAATTTTTTAGATTCATAGGTTCTTCTGGAATAGATTGTACGAAACCAAATTTCCATAGCACGTGATCAGTTGGATGCTACTCGATAATAACATAACATATAAGAGTGATCACCGCCATCCATACATCTAGTGGGCCACTTATATTAGGTGAGATACAATGCCTCATTTCGTTAGTAGCATAAGGACTTCATTGAAACTACAACAAATATATATAATTCTTTTCAAAATAATATTTTAATTATATAACTATAATTAAAGGTAAATAACAAAATTTATATACATACTCGTGTGCTAGTTTTTTGATCAATGAGTAGTCGAATTTCTCCTAATTCGTCTGGTATTTCCGATGATCTTTTCTTACACATGACCACTTATTCAGTGTAAAAAAATATTCATTATACACTCGAAAAAAATATTTATATACGAACTCAGTATTGAAATTACCTCAGCAATAACAGGAATACTAACAGGTTCTTCACCATCGGACATAAAATGAGCATGCGATACCACGCCCATGATTGCAGAAGTATGAGACATCTGCCGATAACATTTTTCTGATAATCAGTTGCTCGGTACATTTCTCTATACAGAGATGCCAAAACTGTGGAGCCCCAACTGAATGACCCGACAACTCGAAAATCGACGAGGTGGCGCAACCACATACAATGAACTTGGTTGTGAGATTTATCGGGCATCAAGATCCCTCCTATGAGTCGTAATATGCAAGCCCGGAAAAATATTTTAGTCTCTTCCTCGGAACAATCATCGTTCAACTGTAAAATATTTATAGCCAACCATGATAACAGTATTCGACCACTATTGAAATTAGGAAAGATACATCCAAGATACTCCTCTCACAAAGAATGTCAATCACCATCCGCCATACCAGAAATGACATCCCATCTACTGAAAGTCCCAAATGTAAGGAAACATCCTCCAGCGTAATAGTGCAGTCCCCACACGGTAGATGTAATGTGTGTGTCTCTGGTCTCCACCTCTCGACTAGTGCAGAAATAAGGTTAGATTTAAGTTTACAATGCTCTTCATATCTAGCTATGTAACTGAATCCAACCTTGGCTAAATATGGTCATACACGTTTTGGTATCTCTAACTTAGCGTTACGAATAAATGGATCAAATATACGGTCATTCCCCTAATTAAATAAATAATATACAAATTAAAATATAACCAATACTAAAAAATAAATAAAACATTTAAAATAATTAACATAACATAATTTAAAATTGTTACCGTATCCGTAAAATGACTTGAGAAATGTTTCCTATCTAAACACATCAATCCACCTTCAATTTTATAACTGCAAAACATAAAAAATTAGCACAATCAAAGATATTAAAATAATACACTACTTAATGATTATAATATAATAAAAATAATTTTATTTTCTAAAAACAATAATAAAATCCACTTGAAACTTGTTAGAAGGAATGATAAAAGTAAGAAGAAGATTTTTTTTTTGTTTGAGAGTTATATAAGGTGATATTTATATGGGAGAAATATATGGTAATTAAGGGGGAGTGATAGACGGTTCATCCGCGTCTTCTACCGTATGTCAATTTTCCCAGCGAAGACGTGGATGGTGATCCGTGCTTTGCCCGCATGGCATCATCTCGAACGAAAATCTAGAGAAGGCACGGATGGTGATTCGCGTTATCTGTCTATGTCAACAAATGAGTGTAGATTGATAAAATTTGATAAATAGATGCCTGACAAAAAATTATTAATTGTTTGGGTATTATTGGGTAAAAACGCTTTTTTTTTGTTCGGAGTTAGATTTAGGGGGTATGTGAGGAAGGTTTCATACTATCTTTTCATTCAACCAAACACTTCCAAGAAAAAGAAAAAAATCTGGGGAAAATGAAGTGTGAACTATGTGGAAAGTTAGCTCGAATGCACTGTGAATCAGATCAAGCAAACATATGTTGGGACTGCGATTTGAAGGTTCATGGAGCCAACTTCCTTGTAGCCAAGCACAATCGAACCCTTCTTTGCCATGTCTGTCAAAACCCTACTCCTTGGCTTGCATCTGGTCGCAATCTCGGCTCAGCCGTCACTGTTTGCGATTCCTGCTTTGAGAACAGGAATGATGAGCCTGAAGTGACGGCGGAAGAGTCATCGGAGGGAACGTATGGTGAAGAAGAGGAAGATGAAGATTATGATGATGAGGCGGTAGAAGAGGAGGTTGAAGATGCTGAAAATCAGGTGGTTCCATGGTCTGCCGACTCTTCTTCTTTGTCATTGTTGAAACCGGTCTTGGAGTGTAGCAGTGATGATGGCGGTGGTTTTGGGCTGAGGAGGATGAGAGAAAATCAAAGTTTTTGCTCCGATGTATGTTGATTCTTTCTCTTTTAAAGATTCGTTTATGATTTATATTTAAATTTGAAAATGGTTTAATTCAACAATGATTTCCAGGAAAAAAATATAATCAAATAATTTGCTTCAAAATTCTTTTGAAAACAGAGGATCTCTACTAAGCATGTTTTTTGAATTTTTTCAATGATTTAATGAATAAAAAAATTCTTTGCATTTATAACTGTTCTAAATTTCTAATTAATCAACAGAGGCTTGTTTATATATTTTATGTTTTCCGAGCAATAAACTTTTCTTGGATTTTCTGTGAGTCTTTTTTTGTAACGGATGCAGGATGAGATTGGGTGCTCCTCATCTCTCGTAGGCTCGGGAGGTTGGTCCAATGGAGAAGCATCATCATCTATGGGATCATCAAGATTTTTGAAGCAGCCAAGATTAGCTGAAGTTCATCCATCAGCTAGAAATGAAGAAGATGGTGAACCAAAGTCCAGATCAACGGCTGTCATCTGCTATCTGAAAAGGCTTCAAAAGCACACCATCACCAATGATGATGATGCATCGGCCACAATCACTGGAATCTGCAGGTTGAGGAGAGATCAGAGCCGTTAATTTCATTCCCACACTAACTCTTATTCAATCCTAACATAATACGACCTCTTGTTGTAGTTTTTGTCTTTATGCTTTTCTCAGTATTTTACTTTTTATATTTATATCAGGGATTTAAATAGATATCACGTTTTTGGTCGCATCGTGTTTATCGTGGTTACGGATATAACAGATGTTATTGCGATTATTGTAGGTGTCGCGGTCGTAAATTATTTTAAATTTTGTATAATTTATCCTAAAATATAATAATTATAATTATAGTCGTAAGGAATCATTTTTTAATGATTTTTAGAATGTTTTTTAATCAAAAATCACACACACATTTATATATAATATATAGTTTAACCAAATAGAATACTTTAAAAATCCAGTAATAAGATAAGATAGTTAATTAATAATAATTTTATGAATACATGATTATTTAAATTATTAAAATTAGGATTAAATTAAATTACATTCTAAACTAAAGATTAAATTATAAATTTTAAAAAATATGACGGGTAGCATATCAATATATTCCTTAAAAATATATTTTAAAATTAACTTTAAAAAAATAAAAAATGAGAAATGGCCTTTAAAAAAATAAAAAAAATAGGAAATGGCCTTAGTGTGTGTGAAACGACCTATGTATTCTAATTTCTTTTAATTGAAAAATCAACATATACTTTAATAACTAAAAAGAAAAATATATAATCTCTCTAATTCTCTTCTCCATGGAGTTCTATGTTGTTTCCCTCATTTCTTCCTCCCTTACTCTCTTAAGGTTTTGAGATAATCAAAAGCAAAAAACTCTAAAACCATGACTTCTTCTAGCCTAGAATAGAGACTTAAGCACCTAAAGTTTAGGATTCCAGCAATTTCTACTTCAACGAGACCCAAAAAATAGGTAAAATTTCATTCTTCCTTTTTACTTTTTCATTTACTTTTTCTTTTTTAATCTCAGTATGAATGTATCAAAAACGGAGATTTAAAAAGAAAGAGAAAAAAATAAGGTTCAACAATGATGAACAAAAAAAATCTTTTTTAGTTTTTTTGTAGCAACGGTAGAATAACGCTTATAAAAAATAATCTTTTTTAGTTTTTTTGGCAGTAACGGTAGAATAACGCTTATAGCGTTTCGTGATCGGCGTTTTCCATCGTTACATGTTAAATTGCGGGCGCCATGGACCGCTATCAACGTGAATCTGGTACCCACCATTAAATTCATCAATAATGGTTTTGGACGGTGGCGCGACTACGAAATAATGACCGCTATAGCGTTTGCGTCCCGATATTTAAAACCCTTATTTACATTAAAAACATTGTTGTGTAACTGAATATATTATTTCTATTCAAATCATGCCACGTGTCTTAATCAAATTTATGAATAAAATTAATTTTTATTACACATGATTATTTAATAATAAAAACCTTTGATGGGCCCCCTTCACAGGGGTCTACTAGTACTTGAAAATTGATTTGAAGTTTTCATTCGACATCATCTCAAAGTTTGAGATAGCTTTTATATTAGGTGTTTTTCCTGAAAAATCACCGGTGACCGGTATATTTACCGATCTAACATCGGTCAGACTATATTTTTTGATCTAACACCCTTAGCAGTAAAGCGCGCCCCCTGCACCGCGCTATATGCTGATTTGGCACCACATGGGGTAAGGCGCGGCCCCTGAAGCGCGCCTTATGCTGACATTGATACACGTGTGTAAAGCTCGGCCCCTGGGGCACACCTTACGCCACGTAGGGGTATAGCGCGGGGTAGGGGCCGCACCTTACCTTTAATTCTGATTTATATATAACGCGGGGCAGGGGACGTGCCATACCTTTAACTGATATAATTATATAAGGCGCGGTGCAGGTACCGCGCCTTGTAACCTTTCCCTACTATAAATATCCTTCTCCCCTATTAAGTTTCTCACATCTCCTCATATCTCTCATCTCAACTTATAAATTAATACAACAATTTCATCAATGAGTCAATAATTCTGACAATTTTCTCATATTTTATTCAGAAGTTCGTTCGATTTTTCGTTATAAGGTAATTTTGTGATAAATTTTTTTTATTATATTTATTGTTTATTATGATTATTTGAAAAAATATTATACTAATTGTTGTCAATTAATTTCCATGTTTGTAAAGTTAGAAAGCGGGAATATACGTCGAAATAGTTTTGCGGTACAGGTAATAATATAAAATTATATTATTTAAATTATTTACGTTTATGTGTAAAAAATTTATTCTGTTATATTTTCGTTTATATATTATTTATTTAATCAACATTATTTCAGTTGTTTTTTTTGCAAATATAATATTGCCACACTTTTAAACTCAAAGAATGGCGTGACTTTCAGCCATTGTTTATTATGATGGTGAAATTCGAGAAGATGAAACCGACGTTGTTTTCGTATCAAATGAGCGTGTTAAAATATCATTGAAGAGAAACATAACTCTTGAGGATCTGATAACGAAGATTTCGAGGAAGATTCATGTTGGAAGTAGTAGAAGAATGTCGTCGTTACAGTACAGATTTCCAACATCATTGTTGCCATTAACTTATACAGCGTTCGAACTTTTGAACAATGATGATGTTGAAATGATGGTTGAAGCTCAAAGTAATTATTCAGACGTCGATATTGAGATGTATGAAAATTTTATTCAAGTGCGTGCCGTTCGGGGTCAATCATTAAGCTCCCACTATGGGTTGGCTGAACAAGTTGATCAAGTTGATAGCCCGACGACAGTAATGTGTAATGATTTTAATGCCATAATGAGGAGACATTCATCCACAACCCCATATGATATGTATCGAGGTGGGTCGACGAATAATCCGTATGGCAACATCGCGTCCAGTTCAAGGGGAAGGCATTCATCTGCAAATCCGTTTGACCTTAATATGGAGATACCATCGACGCAACCATCTGTGCAGTTTCTATATGACACAATGGCTTCAAGCTCTAGGGGGAGGCATTCGACTGCGAGCTTTTTCGATCTGAATGTCGATATGCCTTCCAGTTCAAGGGGAAGGCGTGCAAGTAGTAGGTTCTTCGACCTAAATGTGGAGAGTATGGAGGAACCATCATCTCCACCAGAAGAACCGCTTCGTGAGCCTGGTGCGGATGGTGCTGAGACTGGACTATTCATTCACCCAGAATCACCGCAATGCAACTCCGATGATGATGATGATGTGGATGAAGTTCCAGCAAATGTGACACAAACTGACCCTCCAACACACATGTATGAAGCTGATTATGGTGCAATGTATGGGCCAGAATTTGCGGATATGCCTCATCTCGGTGACTATGGATATTACTCATCAATAAATAATGGTGAGTTATATTTAGGCATTGAGTTTTCAAGCAAAGAAGAAGCGATGATGGCTATAAAAAATTACAATATCCGTAATTCAGTTCAATCGAGAGTCGACCGCTCCACGACAGAAAAATATGTATGCTAATGTGCCCAACGCAAAAACGGATGTAATTGGATTGTTCGCGTATCAAAAAGGAAGAGGAAAAACAACAGATGAGAACTAACAGTATACAACGATCCTCACACATATTGTGCTGGAGGATCATCCCAACTTGGACTCTGAAGTGATATGTCACGCTATCATGCCCATGGTAAAAGCAAGCTCTCATATAGCTATTGCTGTGTTGATTTCAGCTATACAATCGCAGTATGGGTACACTGTCTCCTATAAAAAAACTTGGTTGGCAAAACAAAAAGCCATTGTCAAACTTCATGGCGAATGAGATGCATCTTACAACGAACTTCCAGGCTGGTTTAGGCTGGTGCGGAGGTTGAATCCTGGGATAATTATGGACTTTGAAACCTCCTATGCATACCATAATGATCGAGTTCTCCGCGATCGATGCCAATTCTATCGAGTTTTTTTGGACTTACCCACAGTGCGTTAATGTTGTCAAATACTGTAAGCCCGTGGTCCAGATCGACGAGACTTTCTTGTATAGAAAATACAATCAAGTTTTATTATTGGCAGTTGTCCAAGATGGCAATCGCAACATTCTTCCAGTTGCTTTTGCTCTTGTCGAAGGAGAAGATACATATTCTTGGGCTTTTTTCCTCCGAAATTTACGTGCACGTGTTATCACGAGGGAAAACATCTGTGTCATTTCAGATCGCGGAGCTGGGATCAAAGCATCAATGGAGTCTTTGGGTCCAATGTGGCAACCACCCTTTCTCCAACATAGGTATTGTCTCCGACACAATGCTGCGAACTACCATGGAAGGTACAAGAATAATGATGAGCATCAATTAATTGTGCGCATGGGTAAATGAAACTGATGTAGTTTGTTTTCTTTCAATCGTTTTAATTTTACAAAGAAAACAAGTTAGTAAGTTATACATTTTTTGATCAGGTTACGAATTACTTCCTCGAACGTTTGAATCAATGCTTCAAGATTTGCGGGCGAAGAACGAGGAAGGATACGATTACATCAGCCTCATTGATAAAGAAATATGGACGAATGCATATGATGGTGGATATCGATATGGACACATGATGACCAACTTGGCAGAGGCAATCAATTCAACTTTAAAGGGTGCATGTCACTTACCAGTAGCGGCTTTGGTAAAGACTACATATTTTCGTTTGGGGGAGTTTTTTGCGAAGCTCGTGGGACAAGCTCAATCCTAGATGCAAGGCGGTCATGTCTATCACCCTAGATTAGTTGCAGATCTACAGAAAAAAAATTTCTGCATCAAATGGAATGTCTATAACAAGCTTCTCTAGAAGGCATGAAATGTTTCGTCTCACAGAGTTGTCGCGACCTCTTCAAGGGATTGAAACTGTGTCGTTAAGAGTAAATATAAGGGACAGAACGTACGACTGCAGGTTTTTTCAAGCTCTAAAGTATCCATGCTCTCATGTGATAGCAGCTTGCTCGCATACACGTCAAGACTATAACCATTTTGTGGATCTCGTATACCTACTATATGAAGTTTTTAAGGTATACGAATTTGAGTTTCCCCCCATAGGTAATGACAATGACCCTGATGAGGTTCAAGATTAGCTTCCGATTATACCAAATCCGAGTTTATTGATGGAGCGT